TTTTAATTTTTATTGCATTTTATTATTTTATATTTTTACCTCACTTCAGAAGTAATCAGGTTCATTTCTGTTGCACTCCGGTAGTTACAAACAACCACCAAGTCCAGCCAAGCCCAGATTCAAGGGTAGGGTAATTGAGATTCCATCTCTTGGTGGCAGAATGGTAAGGTTACATAGCATAAGAAAATGTGGGATATTGAATGATATATGTAATCTCTCAATTTACTGGGATTTCCTTGGAGTCCATTAGCAGATTGCCATTCCTTTTCATCATGCTCTGTTTTCTGAATGCCAACTAGGAAATTTTCCACCATGCACAGATTGCTTTTCACCACTGGATAAACATTGCTTGAAATTATGTTGATAGGCAGGTGCCATTTTGAATGTAACAAGAATTTTGATATTGCTGTGGTAGTCTCCTAATGTGGGCTTTACAGCCAGCAAGAACATGCTTCATATTCAAGTTAACTTTGGTTTGCTATAATGTAGTTAGGTTAAGAGAAAGTTTCAGCAGAAAGGTGAAAAACCTAACTCTGTCCACCTCCGAGGTAATCCTATTTTCCATGGACAATTATACCCCTAGACATGCACGTGTACCTCAATATCTTCTCAGCTCACAGTGTTTTCCAAATTCCATGTCCCACTTTCTATTTTTTGCAATATCTGTGTACCACCCTACTACCTAGATTTTTGTTGTGTTAACAAGCTACCGCAAACTTAATGGCTAAAATAATACAAATTTATTATTTTACAGTTCTTGAAGTCAGAAATCTGACATAGGTGTCACTGGGCCAAAAGGAAGGTGTCATCAGGGCTTCTGGAGAATCAGTGAGAAAATTTCTTTGCCACTTCCAGCTTCTGGAGGCTGCCCTCATTCTTTGTTTGCATTTTTCTTCTATTTCCAAGGGCAGTGATGGCAACTTTAATCCGTCTCATATCACTTCACTCTGACCTCCACTTCTGCCTCCATTTTTCACCTTTAAGGACCCTCATGATTACATTGGGACCTCCAGGATAATCCAGGATAATCCTTCTATCTTGAAGTCATCCATCAGCAACCTTTATTCCATCTTCAACCTTAATTCCTTTCTGCCATGTAAAATAACGTATTTACTTTCCAGGGCTTATAAGGCAGATATCTGCCTACAATAAGATTTTTATTATTTTGGAGATATGTATATCTCAACACACCAAAATACTTGAAAAGCAATTGTAAAGGCATCTACAAGTTACCACTTAACCCTTAGGTTCTTTTCAACCTTCATAATATCTGAAGCACTACTGTATTAGTCCATATTCATGCTGCTGATAAAGACATACCCAAAGCTGGGAACAAAAGAGATTTAATTGGACTTACAGTTCCACATGGCTGAGGAGGCCTCAGAATCATGGTGGGAGGTGAAAGGCACTTCTTACATGGCAGTGGCAAGAGAAAATGAGGAGGAAGCAAAAGTGGAAACCCCTGATAAACCCATCAGATCTTGTGAGACTTACTATCACACATGAGAATAGCACAGGAAAGATGGGCCCCCATGATTCAATTACCTCCCCCTGGGTACCTCCCACAACTCATGGGAATTCTGGGAGACACAATTCAAGCTGAGATTTGATTGTGGACACAGCCAAACCATATCAACTATGAACCAATGAGATCTTAAGTAGAATTCTCTACCTATCAGATAGGCAAAGATGAACGCATTTGACAATGTACGTAATTAATGAAAATGTGTAGAATGTGCATATGCACATTCACTGTTGTTATTAATTAATTTGATATAAATTTGGTAAGTGTACCAAAACTTAAAATAGCTATTCTTTTTGGCCCAACATTTCTACCTCTGCAAAATAAATATTGAGATGTTCTTTACAATATTGTTTATAATTTTGAAGAAAAGAAAAAAGAGATAGTCTCTCTCTCTATATATAAATATATAGATATATCATAATTTATATATACCATATATACCTGGCACACACATATCTCTGATATATGTATATAGAGGTATATATAAATTATGATATATCCATATGTTAATACCTATCCCCTTAAAAATGTGTGGGTAGAGGACTTCTAGTTTTGTCCAAGATGAAGTATCCCCATTCCTCCCTAGTATTCCCCTTTGCAACTCAAAAACCCTGGACTTAACAAACAAATATAGGAAGACTCTGAAAGATGGAAAGAAGATGATGACAGACTGCCTAGGGGCTTCATAAAACTTGATTAAGAACTGAGATGAAGGCTGGGTGTGGTGCCTCACACCTGTAATCCCAGCACTTTGCAAGGCAGAGGCAGGCAGATCACAAGGTCAGGAGTTCAAGACCAGCCTGACCAACATGGTGAAATCCCATCTCTACTAAAAATACAAAAATTAACCGGGTGTGGTGCTGCATGCCTGTAATCCAAGCTACTGGGGAGGCTGAGGCAGCAGAATCGCTTGAACCCAGGAGGTGAAGGTTATAGTGAGCCGAGATTGTGCCACTGCACTCCAGCCTGGGTGACAGAGTGAGACTCCATCTCAAAAAACAAAACAAAACAAAAAAAGAACTGAGGTGAAGTAGTCACCTAGCTTCTGAAAAATGGATAATTTCTCTCAATTCTTGTTTCATGAAGACATTTTGGTAAACAGCAAAGAGTCTTTTCCCAACCAAAAAAAAAAGATCCTTAGGGATAAATGGCAAATTCACATCATCTCAGACATCTGCATATTTACTTCTCAGTTTTAGAGTGGATACACTTGTGGGACGTGCATCCTAGGATGGCAGAAAACCAGATGTAGTCCCTGGAATCCCCAGGCTTCTAAAGAAACATTCTTATTATAAAACTATTTCCATGTAAGTGAGTGAAAAATATAGACATCATTTTAATTAACACATCTCTAGCTCTACTTGAAAAGCATTTAAAGAGGTTGGTAGGACACTTGACTCCCTTAGCAGTTGCTGAGCAAATCCTCTGAAAAGCAGTGGAATTTGAATAGCTCAGAGGATGGTAGAGAAGGAACATAAGGATTTTGGAAAAGAAGGATATAAAGAATCCATCATGATCCTCTTTAGCAGGGCATGCCAGGGCAAGGAATGGGGCTCTCAGTGGACTCTGTCTTCCTGGATCATTTTGTTCACTCGTATAATATACTTAGTTTTTGAAACTATAGTTATTCACTTCGGAATTACTCTGGGAATCAAGGAGAGTGGGTCCACCCGTGTCAAATGCTTCTGAGATGTGATGTGAGAAGAGGATACAGAATCAATCACTGAGTTTGGCAACATGGAGGTCATCAGGAACCTTTACTGAGGAAGAATAGGCATGAAGCTTCGTTGGAGTGGATTGAAGAAAGAATGGAAAGTAAGGAAGTGAAAACAGTGGGTACGGGGAACTTCTGAGAAATATTTTGTGGTTAAGGGGGATGGAGAAGTAGACTGGTATCCAGAAAGAGAAGATTAATTTGGTTAGGGTCATTAATATGGTTTGGATTTGTGTCCCTACCCAAATCATATTACCCAACTTTTGATCCCCAACAGTAATTATAATATTGGAGGTGGGGCCTGGTGGAAGGTGATTGGATCATGGGAGTGGATTTCTCATGAATAGTTTAGCACCATTCCTCTTGGTACTGTGCTTGAGATAGCGAGTGAGTTCTCGTGAGATCTAATTATTTAAAAGTGCGTAGCACCTCCCACCTTGCTCTCCTGCTTTTACTTCTGCCATGTGAGACATCTGCTCCTCCTTTGCCTTCTGCCATGATTGGAAGCTTCCTGAGGCTGTTCCAGAAGCAGAAGCTGCTATACTTCCTGTGCAGCCTGCAGAACCTAAGCCAATTAAACCTCTTTTCTTTGTAAATTACCCAGTCTCAGGTATTTCTTTATAGCAATGTGAGAATGGACAAATACAGTCATATTATGGAGAACCTTTTTTACATTGGCAAAGGGTAACCCTGAAGATTTCAAAATCAGAAAATTTGTTAAAAGTGTAGGTTTGGGCTGGCTGTGATGGCCCACGCCTATAATCCCAGGACTTTGGGAGGCCAGGGCAGGGAGATTGCTTGAGCTCAGGAGTTTGAGGTCAGCCTGGGCAATGTGGTGAGACTCCATCTCTATTTATAAAAAAAAAAAAAAATAACAGGAAGGGTAGGCTTGGAAATGTGAATGTGGCACGAATAACTTGAAGGAAAGGGTAACATTGAGAGACTGGTAGAGCAGATGCAGCAGTAGTCTAAGAATAAAGGGGTAAGAATATGAGCCTGGGTGGTGGCCACCAGGATGGAAATGAACAAACAGAAATAAGGGCCATTATAGAAAATAGTGATATTTGCTGAAGAACTTTGAGCAGTGTGCTCTAATCACTCGCTCAGAGATGAAAATGTGGGCCTGAAAGGGATCTTAGTTAACTCATTTTACAGAAAAGGAAGAAACAGTTCCAGAGAAAGGAAGAGGTAAAGCATATATTTTACATAAAAGAATCGGCTGGGTGCGGTGGCTCATGCCAGTAATCCCAGAACTTTCGGAGGCCAAGGCAGGTGAATCATGAGGTCAGGAGTTTGAGACCAGCCTGACCAATCTGGTGAAACCCCATCTCTACTAAAAATAAAAAAATTAGCTGGGTGTGGTGGCATGTGCCTGTAATCCCAGCTATTTGGGAGGCAGAGGCAGGAGAATTGCTTGAAACTAGGAGGTGGAGGTTGCAGTGAGCTAAGACCACACCATTGCGCTCCAGCCTGGGCAACAGAGGGAGACTCAAAAAAAAAAGAAAGAAATTAAGTGTACACATAAATGTAGCCAGGCACAGTGGTTCACAGCTGTAATCCCAGCACAGGGCTAGGTGGGCAGATTGCTTGAGCCCAGGAGTTCGTGACAAGCCTGGGCAACATGATGAAACCTTGGCTCTACAAAAAGTACAGAACTTGGCCAGGCATGGTGGTGCACTACTTGGGAGGCTGAAGTGGGAGGATCGCTAGAGCCTGGGGAGGTTGAAGCTGCAGTGAGCTATGATCACACCACTGCACTCCAGCCTGGGCAACACAGCAAGACCCTGTCTCAGAAAAAAAGAGTTAATAAAAGTATACACATCAATTTACTTATTTATGTGTTCAGATCATAGTTGTTGCTGAGAACGTCAAGTTAGGGGTCCTGGATAACATCGTCTGAGCACTTTGCTTCTTGGTCTTCAACAGCCCCATTGCAAAGGGCAGCACTTGAGGATATCTCCATTTGTGTCTCTTACATGTAGCCCAGAGGGCAGGACCATTGTACACATGAGCAAAACTCACCCTTTGCTCTGGTGAATGTCAGTTTAAACTGCTGGGCTCTTGGGCCTTTGCTCTCCAGTTGTATTCTGTGGTCATCTTGAACGTGTCAGCTTTCACACTCTTCTCTACACATCTCTGGTCCTCAGCTGACCAACTCTCCTGACATTCCTTCCTGTTGGTGCTGGCTTGCTCTCTGCCTCCAAAGATATTTAGAGTTCAGGCACCTGTCCTCCTTGTTGCTACCACCCAGAGAGGCTCACTTCTGAATTAGCTCTGTTTGTAAGGAAGCACTATCTAGCCCTTTGGAAGGGGAGCTGCTTAGGCTCTGGTGGCACAGCACCTTAATGTTTCATGTTCCCCACATTCTAGTCTTCCTGTGTGCACAGATCCTTCCTTAAAGGGACGGGGGAGGCTGAGTGAAGGCATGTTCAAGGGCAGACTCACATGGCATTGGGCACACTGCCACTGCCGTGCAGTCATCACTGTTAACTCCACCACAGGCTGTCTAGTTCCTTCATTACTTATGGAGACCCGCTTTCCCTCCCTCTAGCTTGGCTACTCTCACCATCAGGTAGGAATGAATATATTTTAATTCTAAATGTAAACCCCAATAGTTATTTCCCAGAGGCTTCTGAGCTACACATAAAGCCAAGAATGTGACTAGGCTTATGTTGTGTGGAATCATCCATTCAAGGAAAATTAAGAGAAACTTTGTCAGGAAGTCTCCTCTAACCGGCACTCATCTACTACCTTGGGCAGATTATTGAACCATTCTAGGTCTCACGTTCCTCATCTGGTGAAGATGAAGTGAATAAATATAGAAAAGCCTTTAGAATAATGCCTGGCATTTTGGCTCTGTTCCAAATAAGGAGGGGGGTGTAGTCACATGAGATGTTGATATACACGCACAGCCGCTTCGATGGATAGAGATCCACTTGGCCAAAGCCTTGCAGAAGTGAAACTAAAGTTTGGGTGAAAATGTTTCCAGATGCTGCCACTCCTTTCACATTTAGTTTTTTTTCCTGGAGGCCCTGAGTATGAGTGCTGCCTACAGAAAGAATCTGCACTCCTCTTAGCCAGGAGAAAGAAGGCAAGTGACATTAGGGCAGCAAAGCTTGCTGAGGAGGAGAGATAGGGAAAATGTGAGTGCAGACAGCCTAGGACTGCTGTTTGAGATCTCCATCTCACCTGGGACCTTATCTGCAAGGTTGCTTTATGTGCATGAACACTATGCGGTGGGAGTAATGAGGCCTTTAAAAGGCAGGCTGCCATCTATGGAAGACAGTGAAAGAACCCTGTGAGAAAGAAAGTGAACAAGGAGCATCATATGTAACCAAGGAAACAGTGCCGAATAGCCCCTGCTGGGCCTTACCGAGAGGAAGCTGGCTGGAACCAGAGCAACGGGTAGAATGGGGAGGTGTTTATAAAGTACAGATACTCGGCCGGGCGCGGTGGCTCAAGCCTGTAATCCCAGCACTTTGGGAGGCCGAGGCGGGTGGATCACGAGGTCAAGAGATCGAGACCATCCTGGTCAACATGGTGAAACCCCGTCTCTACTAAAAATACAAAAAATTAGCTGGGCATGGTGGCGCGTGCCTGTAATCCCAGCTACTCAGGAGGCTGATGCAGGAGAATTGCCTGAACCCAGGAGGCGGAGGTTGCGGTGAGCCGAGATCGCGCCATTGCACTCCAGCCTGGGTAACAAGAGTGAAACTCTGTCTCAAAAAAAAAAAAAAAAGTACAGATACTCAGCTTTCTCTTTGTTTATGAACTCTCAGATGGAATAAAGAAACTTGGAACCGTGTGTGTGTGTGTGTGTGTGTGTGTGTGTGTGTGTGTGTGTTTGTGTGTGAGACAGACACAGAGAGAGAGGGAATATGAATGAACAAGTTGGGGTGATCTTTAACATATGGCTGTGGGAAATAGAAAAGTTCTTTTTAAAGTTTCCTTTCTTGTTAAACTGTGCTAACAGCTTTGTTAAGCCCTAACCTATATAGCTGTTAAACATCCCATGCTTACAGGCATGTCGTACATTCTGTGTCCTTGTACTTTAACCAAGATATCTCTGCTGGACGTGCTCACAGGCATGTCCCAGCTCTCCATGGCTTTTATCTGTTTAGAAAAATTTTAAATTATTAGTCAATCAGGTTTTAGTTTAAATTGTAAGGTCTGGCTCCAGCCAGTGGAGATCAGACATAGCAGGAAGGACAACCCCAAATGCATCAGGGATAAATTTGTGTGTTTTCCTTTGTTCATTGTACTCTCCTGGCACGATGGCTAGTGAGGGTACCTTTCCTGCAGTCCAGGAAGTAAAAATTGCGTTGCTGAAAGATCCTTTGTCTGAGTGCTAATTTTTCTTGCAGTACCAAGCATCTATTTCCAACAATGGCTAAGTCTGATTTAAACCCCATTCCTGAATTGCAGAAATTCCAAATCCCTCACTAAGATTTCTATTAATTTCTAGGTGGGCCCATGTCTGCTAGAATCCCCCATTGACTCCACATTCCGATTCCACTGAGTGCATTTCATTTCTAGATAATTTCCACACCCTGTTTACCAGCCTGCTGAAGTTAGAATCTGGGTTTACCTCTTAGCTGCTGTGTGACCTTGGACAAATCACTTAACCTCTCTGTGCTTCTGGTGCCTCACTCACAAAATGGAGAAAATATAATTGCTTACCTTATAGGTTTGCATTGAGTATTATTAAATAAGATAGTTACTATAAAGCATTTAAATATGTTAGTGTATGTATGGTGCTTAGAATTCCACTTGGCATATAATCAACATTTTTACATTATTATTGAGCTGATTATTATGCATTAAAACAGATGTTGAGCTCAGCCTCTTTTCTTTCTTTCCACTCAAAACAGCCCTCTCAAAAGGGTCTATGTGTGTTTGCGTGTGTGTTTATGTGTGTGTAGAGAAGACTTTATTAAATATTGGAGTGATGAAGACATTTTCATTTCATTTGTGCCAACAATGTGTAATTTCAGGGTATATAGTTAATAGTTCTTTTCCCAAAAGTTCTTCAGACATTTCCAGTTTAAACTCACCATTTTCTCATTCTTTCTGCATTCCACATTTCTAATCTTTGTGAATGCAAAGTAATTTAGCTACTTGTTACTTCACCTTTAGCTCTATGTTCTCAGGGTCTCGTCTTCCACCCCCAACCTGTTTATCAAGAATTGCCTTAAGCGTAGATAGTTCCTTTGTACATATCATGCAGTAGATAGAGTTCCCAGTGGTTCTCATGAATTGTTTAATATCGAAGTATGTTGAAAGCAATCTGATTATTTTATCATTTGAACTTTTCTCTAGTGCAGTTTTCTCTAAATCCACATTTGTACACTTTAGGCTGCAAAAGTAATACCAGAGACTGTGAGCCCCTAGAGAGCAAAGATCAAATTACTTACAGTGTTATACTCACAGCAGTACCCAGTCAGTGGCTCAAAAATTGATATACACTTGTATGTCACTGTCCCTATCTTTTTTTTTTTTGAGTTGGAGTCTTGCACTATCGCCAGGCTGGAGTGCAGTGGCACGATCTCAGCTCACTGCAACATCTGCCTCCTGGGTTCAAGCAAGTCGCCTGCCTCAGCCTCCTGAGTAGCTGGGACTACAAGCACGGGCCACCATGCCTGGCTAATTTTTTGTATTTTAGTAGAGATGGGGTTTCACCACGTTGGTCAAGATGGTCTCTATCTCCTGACCTCGTGATCCGCCCACCTCAGCCTCTCAAGAGGCTGGGGTTACAGGCATGAGCCACCACACCTGGCCATCTGTGTCTTTTGAGTAGGAATGAAATAACTTTTTCTGGGAGAAGGCTTCAAGCCTGGTGTTTATTTGCAATTAGTAAATATACAGGTGCAGAATTTCTTCACTATCATGACAGTAAAGCAAATGCTTTCTTTTGGGCTCAACGAGGTAAAGGCCCAAATGGTGTCTGTTCCACCATATAATCCCAGAAGCTTTTGAGCATCACAAGTAATTCTCATTCTTTCCACTCCACAGGATTTGGTTTCCAACTTTGTGTTGTTGTAATTAACCTCCTTCATACTTGATTTTTCTGTGGCATAGTAAATAACTTCAATTTCTTTTTCTTTTTTATTAAGGAAAATATATTTTTTATTGTTACACCGGCAGTGATACAAAAAGTCTAAACAGGAAAGCGTTCTTTTTTGTTTTAAACTTTTATTTTAGGTTCAGGGATACATGTGCAGGCTTATTATATAGGTCAACTCATGTCACAGCGGTTTGTAGTACAGATTATTTCATCACCCCTGTCTTAAGCCCAGTATCCAATAGTTATTTTTCTGATTCTCTTCCTCCTCCCAGCCTTCACCCTCAGGTAGGGCCAAGTGTGTGTGGTTCCCTCCTGTGTGTCCATGTGTTCTCATCATTTAGCTCCCACTTATAAGTGAGAGCATGTGATATTTGGTTTTCTGTTCCTGCATTAGTTTTCTAGGGATAAATAACTTCTATCTCTACCATGTTTAACATTGTGACTACAGTTATTCCTCCCAGTGGGGTATTCCTGGGAGAAGAAAAGATAAAAGAAATGGTTTCTAAAAGGGAAAGGTGACATTCTTTTCTCCATAGACATGTTATTTTTAAAACGGCAGATGTCTCTTTTGTTTCATATATAAGTTTGTTTAAAAAATTTTTGTGGCTGGGCACAGTGGCTCACGCCTGTAATCTCAGCACTTTGGGAGTCTGAGGCAGGCAGATCCCTTGAGGTGAGGAGTTTGACACCAACCTGGCCAACATGGTGAAACCCCATCTCTGCTAAAAATACAAAATTAGCTGGGCATGGTGGCACCTGTAATCCCAGCTACTCAGGAGACAGAGGCAGGAGAATCGCTTGAACCCGAGTGGTGGAGATTGCAGTGAGCCAACATCGTGCCACTGTACTCCAGCCTGGGAGACAAAGTGAGATTCAGTCTAAAAAAAAAATTGTATTAAAGAGTGTGACTCTAGTGTTTTTTATGTTTGATCCTGATATCTTTATAACCTTGCCTCTTCTTCTTCCACTCTGTCCCACATATAGAAAACTGATTAAAAAGAAAAAAGCTCAGGTGATGTCTCCTTTGGCACCAATAGGAAGTTCAAACAATGCCTAGGAACCCTTGACCAGTCTCACTCCGTAGTCACCATAAAAACCCCAAGCCAAACCACTTTCTCTGCTTTCCCAGGCCATTTTTGGGTCTGCCTGGGAGCCACATCTTTCCCCAGAAAGCCTTATTATGTGAGTATTAAACCTTTTCATACTCTTTTGGTAGAGGGTAGTTTACAACAAATTTCGGGTGGAGATCTACCTTAATTCTACAGAGTGTCCACAACAATTTAATTAAATATTTGATGCATACAAAGAAATATTTATATGTTTGTTTATATGCTTAAAGTAGAAACGTAGCTGTCTTAGTCTGTTTCTGCTACTATAAGAAGATACTTTAGTCTGGGTAATTTGTAAACAACAGCAATTTATGTCTCACATTTATAGAAGCTGGGAAATCCAAGATCAAGGTGCCAGTAGGTTCAGTGTCTTGTGAAAGCTGCTCTGTGCTTCCAAGATGGTGCCTTGTTGCTGTGTCCTCAGATGGTGGAAGGGACAGAAGCTGTGGCCTCATGTAGCAGAAGAGATGAAGGGACAGGCAGCTCTCTGAAGCTTCTTTTAGGAAGCCATTAATCCCAGTCACAAGGATGGACCCCAGATGACTTAATCACTTCCCAAAAGGACCCACCTCTTAATATCCCAACAATGGGGATTCAGTTTCAACATAAGGATTTGGAAGTGACACAAACATTCTCAAACCATAGCAGTAGCAATTACATATTTAAAAAGCTCTAGAAGTATCATTAAAAAATAGAACATTATATTCGTATTGCTTCTCCCTGATTTCATGCTTCACTTTCTCTAAACCAGTCCCCACGGCAGCTCATCAGGGTTTTAATGAGGCTGAGTTTGTTATTTGTTTATCACTCCCTTTGTTTCACTTTATGTTTACATTTTAACACAGATGTAAGTATTTATAAATTGTGTGTGTGAGATGTTTTTTTGAGTTGAGGTCTTGCTATGTTGCCCAGCCTGGTCTTGAACTCCTGGGCTTATGGGATCCTCCTGCCCCAGCATCCTGAGGAGCTGAGATTACAAGCATGTGCCACCATGCCCGGTTTATGTTTACTGATTCATCATAACTGAAATCTTATGGTATATCCTATTTAGGGACTTTTTCTTTGCAATGTTATCTTTGAAAGTTTTCTTCATATTGATTTATGTAGCTGCATGCATTCATTGTCTTTACTATATTGTATGTCCATTGTCCATAAGTAATTTATGAATTATCCTTTCAGTAGACATGGGGTTGGATTTTCTCCCTTATCTTTTAATCTTACATATAGTAGTACTATGAACATTCTTATACATGAGTTCTGGTGAAATGTGCAAGTTTCTCCAGCGTGTGTGCCCAGGAGTGGAATTTCTGGATCATACAGTATGCGTAGCTTTAACACATTTGATGGTGACAAATCAATATTCAAAGAGGCTATAAAAATTTACATTCTGATTTCATATCTAACCATTTGGATAAACAATTTTCCGAGCACCATTTGTTGAAGGGTTCTTAACCTACTGAACCACAATATCATCTCTGCCACAAACCAAGCATGCATACATATGTGGTTTCTGAGTTCTCTATTCTGATGTGTTTATTAGTCTGTTTTCATCTGTTTCTGTAGAAGTGCAATGCAGGCTTATGAATATAGCTTAGTTATAAGCTTTGATACTAATAGAATAAGACTCCCACTTTATCCTTTTTCTTTAGTAGTGTCTAAATTATTCTTGACCCATTGTTCTGTAAAAATTTTAGACACAACTTATTGAGCCACTGACCCCCCACAACCCAAAACTTGTTAAACTTTTGATTGTCATTGAATTGAATCTATAAATCAATTTGAGGAAAACTGATGTCTTTGCATTATTGACTCTACCTATGTATAACATGGCATAACTCCACATTTATGGAAGTCTTCTCAAATGTCCTGTAATAAAGTGTTACAGCTTCCCCCAGGAAAGGCTTGTACATCTTTGGTTTTATTTATTCCTACCTGTCTTATTTTTATTTGCTATTGTAAATGTAATCTTTTTAAAAATTAAGCTTTATATTTAAAATAGCTATGGATTTGATAGTGTTTGATGGTATATATAAAAGACCTGACATGCATGTGTTGGTTTTGATTCAAAATACAGCAACCTTGCAAGAATCCTTCATTAATTCCGATATTTTATCTAGAAATTATTTTGTTTTTTATCTGCACCTCTGAAAAATAATGGTTTTTCTTTTTTTCCCTTTCCAGTCCTTGTAACATTTACCTCTTTTTCTTGCTTTTTACTGGCTAGAATTTTCAATACAATGTTCTATAGCAATGTCTTGTTCCTGATTGTAAAAGAGAAGGTTTTTTACCATTAAGTACATATGTACCATTAAGTACACTGGCTGGTGGTTATCCTGGGAGTGCTCTTTGGTTGCCTGACAATGTACTTTCTGGGACTGGGAGGGAGCACTGCCTCTCCCCAGCTCAGCAGGAGGGGGTAAGGCTGAGCCCAGCTTCACTGAGGACTGAAGATGCTACTTCCTTGAGATGCCTGAATCCAATTTCCCCAAGATCACCAGTAAAAATGAAAACATATGACCACACAAACACATAAACATAAATGTTCACAGCAGCATTATTCACAATAATCAAAAAGTAGAAACAACCTGAAATGCCCATCAACTGATAAATGGCTAAATAAAAATTGGCCTATTCATACAATGGAATATTATTGATAAAAAGTAGTGAAATACTGATGACACATGCTACAAAGTGGATGAACTGCAAAACCGTTATGCTTAGTGAGAAAAGCCAGTCATAAAACAGATATTGGATGATTCCATATATTAAATATCAACAAATGGATTTATAGAAAGTAAATTAGGAATGGATATGGAGAGTGACTATAAAGGGATATGAAATCTCTTTTTAGGGCAATGGAAATGTTCTAAAATTCAGTTGTGATAAAGGTAAAATTAGTTTATGTAAAATTAGATTGTTGTACAGCACTGTAAATATACTAAAATTCATTGACTTTATACACTTAAAACAGGTAAGTTTATGGAATGTAGATTATATCTCAACAAAGCTGTTTTAAAGAATGATCAATAAAAGCTGCTAATGTTCCATGACAACTGACTGGGTGGCATCTAACCCCACATCTCTTGGTGTCTAGGTCCTGACTGATCATTTGCTGCATACGAGGCTGCTCTGATGCTTGCGTGGAGAGTAGAATAGCAAAGGGGCTGGGCATTATCACAAACCACTGAACAGCTGGTATCTACCCAACAGCTGGTATCTTGCTACTTAAGTCCTAACTGTGTTCTTACACAATAATAAGCCTGTAGCAAGGCTATATAATAATGGGCTCATGAATGAAGTAGCCATAATGGCAGA